GCGACTTAAGTTTCACTGCATTACAACTCGTCTGTCACAATGTCTATCTATAGACGTTGTGCAGGACGTGTTCCAGTGAAACTTAAGTCGCACACCAAAACGTAGTTACACGTATATGTAAAAAAGAGCGTGTGTAAATATAAAAGTGAACATAGAAGTCAACACTTAGAGCCGACAGTCTGTTTCATGCTATATGCAATCGTCTGTCGCCTCTAAGTGTTGACTTCTATGTTCATTTTATATATATATATATATATATATATATATATATATATATAATAAATATATACAAATAAAAATAGAAAAAAAAAACTTAGCCGACGCCTTTAATCCGCTGAGGGATTTAATGAATGTAATGTAACATTTATTATCCTGCTCGGGTTAATATATGTCATTGGTCTATCAATGCTGGTAAATTTGAGAACATTCATGTTTGAAATGTAAGTCAAAACAAGTGTCTTAATTCAAAGTCTGGTGAAAAGAAAACTGCCTGAGTAATATTTAATAATTTAAAAAAACAATTTCATAAGGAATACTGTGCTAAATGTATTGTTATGGTGTGCGATGGATATACATGTTGTATATCTTCAAAGGATCAAATGATGGATTTTACCGTTTTCTTTTGATATTGTTGTTATGTATGTTGCCTTGGGAAAGTAGTAATTCTTTCAGGAAAGGTGAGATTGCGGGAAAAAAAAACGAGACGAAGATTTATATTTTGATAACAATCGATGGCGGCACTCTCGATAATTTTTATTCTGGGCAAATTACTTTCTTTTTGATCATGTTACATTATTTAGATAGAAATTGTCGTCGAATTTATTTCTCTGTATCATTAGTGCACTTATTAAATTGTTATTCATGAGGTCACTTTTGTGTTCATAGTTAATTGTTTTTTTGTTTTGTTTTGTTTTTTGTTTTGATTTTTTTTTTTAAATGTGTGCATGTTTCCCCAATGTATTGTGAGGAACAGTTCTGGCACTTTATTTCATATATGCCCGTTTCTGAATGATTATTCTCATGATGTTTTTAGATCTGATTATAACCATATTTGTTTTGGGTGTGCTTTTGAGTATTCGGATGTTATTTAAACGCGATATGTTATTCAGGACAGCAGATGGAGTTGGTAAATATCCCTACAACCAATCTGCCCCTGGGTGGCATGCCACTACAATTTACCGCTGGTGGCCCGCTGTCGGACAGCCGGAGAGATCGTCTCGGCAGTGTTATGACTGGGGGGGTGTAGAAAATGCACAAGTGGCCCGCCGGTGGCTGCGTGTAATGGGGTAGTGTTATGTGTCTGGTTTTGTTTAATTTGTTATTGCGGATATTGTTGCTGTATTTGTTGCGGTCGTGTATTTTATTTGCGTTGTGGATGACTTGATAAGGATATTGGATCTTTTTGAAAATATTTTATATGTGCATTTCTGTTTTGGCTAGGTATTGGGGCTGTAGCATATATATATATATATATATATATATATATATATATATATATATATATATATATATATATATATATATATAACGTATATATAAAACTACGTGTGCTTGGGTGTGTGTGTGTCTACGAGGGAAAATACCCAGCTTTTTTTTTTCTTATTTAAAAACAACTATCAGTGTTCAGCTATATATTCAGTCTTATTTTCTTAAAAGATGCAGCTTTTTTGCATGCCTATCAAACACAGGATATAGTGAATGCCAGAGGGGGAAAATATGTATCGAGTAACCTGCCTAACAAGCTTGTAGAAATGGATGGCAGAACAAAGTGTCCGAAGGTATAGTTACTAGGCATAGGATATTATACAGAGCTACGAAACTGGTATAGATTAAACCAAGTGACGATACACTTGTCTGAATGAATAAAGCATGTAGTTTACAACATTCGGAGCATAGCAGGCGCTGTAAGTTTGAACGCGCGGGTGGTGTAGTATATAATAGCACGGAAATGTTAATTGGAGAGCCGAGTTCCAATTCCCGTTGGGTTTATTATATTCACTTGCGCGCAAATACCTTTGGCATATACATAAATCTATCTCTTCTTCCCGCTAAAAAGAAAAAAAAAATGCTTCCAATTTTAAAATATATTGTGGCTTAAATAATCCACAATGTGTTGCTAAGCCATAGAAAATGAATCAATGAACCAATAAATTCCGAGCAATGTTTGCCTTCCAGAATATGAAATTTGAAATCGAATATCTATATTTCTGAGATGAGCAATTGTAAGTATTTATACTATTTACATTGTTCAAATTGTTGTCCTCATCTTTATTTCCATCTTCATGACGTTTCGTACCGTTGTACGTTCCAGCTTTCTTCATGTCATATTACTTGGAGTTTTCAACCGAAATCTTTATTTTGTATACAGGAGTAGATTGTTCTAATTAAAACAATCTACTTTCGTGGACTAAATAAAACTTCGATTCGAAATTCCAACGAATATTGCCTGGAGAAGGCCGAAGATTACAACGGTTGAAATTTACTGTTAAATCATTCCTTGTACTATGCTACGAGTAGCAACGGATGAATATTGATGAGTATTTCTGCTTGATGTTAACTGTTGAAACTTAACTAATGCATGGAATAATAATGCAACACAAAATGTACTTAGAACAAAATGTATTGAAACAAGAAAGTGTACACAATATTTACATATAGTCTTTTGTATATTCCTGGTAAGACCGTTCCTGGAGAATGTGTTGACTGAGTCGCAGTCGGGCAGAGTCTCTGGATTGAATCTCTTGATTCCTTCCTTCGTCTTCCCGGTACCAACCATATTTATATAGTCGGTACTCCACTATGCAAATTAGGTGGATCCTACCACAACATTAAAAATCGGCTTAGGAATATTCTAGGAGTATGCAGACGATACCACGGTTTAGGCCACATTTCCAACAATCTGTACCATTTCAAGTTCAGTTTGGCACCAATCAAAGTCATTTTGGGACTAAGCAAGTTCATAATGAAATAGCCAAGTTCAAAATGGAATAGTCACATTCAAAATGGGATGCAGCAAATTCCAAATGGGATAGTCAAATTCCAAATGTGATTTAGCAAATTCAAAATGAAATAGTCAAATTCAAAATGGGATAAACAAAATTGATTTGGGACTTAGCTAGTTGAAAATGGATTAGTCAATTGGTACTGAGCAATTATTTTGCTAAAAAAGACTTTAAAATTAAATATTTTGATGATAAAATAATAATGTTCAACTAAACTTTACTATTGAAATGTTTTATCTTCTAGGAGCAATCAAGAAAATTCATGAAAGGTGTATGTTTTTTGAATGCAACTTTCAGCGCTTAAAATCTCTCACTACACCTATCTTTTTTCAAACTCTGTCTTGATATATGCATTCAGTATTTCCTTGTTACTTTTTCTGAGGACTTTCCAGATTTGCCCTGTTGTCCCCACAAAAATTTCATATTCAATAACTCTCTCTTGTTCTCTCTTTTTTAATACTATATACACTCTATCCGTCTCTTTCTTCTTCTCTTCTCTCTGATTATCCTACAAAGGAAAGTGCCAGAAACTCTAACTTTAACACAAATTTGTCCGTTCAATACCATTTCAAGTTCAATTTAGGACTAATCAAGGTCATTTTGGGACTAAGCAAGTTCATAATGAAACAGCCAAGTTCAAAATGAAATAGTCAAATTCAAAATGTGACTTAGCAAATTTAAAATGGAATAGTCTAATTTAAATTGGGACATAGCAAATTCAAAATGAAATAGTCAAATTCAAAATTTATTTAAGCAAAAATTGTCGTCGAATTTATTTCTATATATGCTTAGTGCACTTTTTAAATTGTTATTTATGATGTTCCTTTTGTGTTCATAGATATGTTTTATGTTAAATCTCTGCATGGTTCCCCAATGTATTGTGAGGAACAGTTTTAGCAATCAAGCAAGTAACCAACCAACCAACCAACCTCAGAACTGTTTCTTTGTGCAACAAACTCCTGAGTAGATACTGTTACAATTTTTGGATACATTGTGTATTAGTGAGTTAGCCCAAATGACTTGACTCACTTTATAGTCCACCAAAAGAAGGGTTAACCAATCAGAAGACGTAGAATATTCAATCCGTCGTATATAAAGGCGGCCATTTTGTTTACTCTATCCGAATGTCCAGTGCCAGCTTGTCAGGCGAAGAGAAACAGAAAGAAGAACTACGCTCTGCTACTTTGCCGGGATATCCACTGCTAACCTGAACAACGCTTTCCTACTGTCTTCGAAATAGTCACTGCTAACCTCTGGATTCTATACTCAAAGACGACCGTCATCATAAACAACAGATACTACTCCGAGTGCAATCTTAACTTAATCACATCTAAGCTCAACACTTATCTAGCCGACATATCCTCATAGTATTCCTCTCTTTACACCGTTGTAACAACCTGATTTAGTTGACTCTACCTTGAATGCCTCCTTGGCGATATATTGTTTGAAGAGAAGTATTATAAAGTCATATTAATTCTATAGTGAGTTCTAGGCATAAACGTTTGACCCCCCACCTATTCTAAGAATCATTGCACCAACATTGTTTTCTTAACTTGCCGAAGGTCGGTGAGTTTTTATGCTAATGCGAATTTTTCGAGGGTTGTTTTTGTTTATCGACATATCAACACCTCTATGGGATATTTGATGCCGAAATCTAAATATTTTGTACGTAATTGTATTATTTAATATTTACTTTGAGCTATTAATGGCTTCAGTCATACAAATGTTACTAATTAATCTATAGTTGGCGAGGGGGACAACAGGTGAATTCTTACCTTTCCCAAGGGTAAGTGCGTGTAACTTTGGGCATAACTGGAATTTGAACTGGGCTCCCCGAATCAAAATTTTGCGTATTTGCCCATTACACCACCCGCCCACCCAAGCTTACAGCGTCTGGTATTCCCCAGTGGTCACCCATCTAGATACTGACTAGGCTCGACTTTGCTTAAAGTCAGTGAACGTAAGGAAAATGCTGTTTCCAAGTGATGTGAACGTAATTCAGATAGATTGACAGACAGATATAAAATGAACATAGATAGATAGATAGATAGATAGATAGATAGATAGATAATGCGCATAGATAGATAATGCACATAGATAGATAGATAGATAGATAGATAGATAATGCACATAGATAGATAGATAGATAGATAGATAGATAGATAATGCACATAGATAGATAATGCACATAGATAGATAGATATATAGATAGATAGATAGATAGATAGATAATGCCCATAGATAGATAGATAGATAGATAGATAGATAGATAGATAGAACCGGTGCTTTAATGTGATGTGACCGTAAGCCGATGCTAATGCAGAGAGCACAGTCACACTTCTAATAAAGTCTAGGTTATAGAATATTTTCTGTTTTATTGACGAAAAACAAAAAAAGTGTCTTTATTTCCGAATCAAAAAAAAAAAAAAAAAGTTTTGTTTGTATGTCAGACTGGAGTATCTTGCATAAAACATTCGCTTGTCACATCGGCCTCTGTGCAAGTATGCAAATATCGTTAGCGAACTTTCTTTTTAATCTAACGACTACCTTTCTATCAGCGGATCAGTTGAAAAATTTATTTGATTAATCAACTTCTGCGACAAGTTACTCGACAATTTCATCAATAGATAAGTAGTAAAAGAGCCGGGGAAATCATCATTGACAAAACTTGTATCGTCTGGGCAAGGTTTATGCTCTTTCTTCTAATTTGTAATGGAAACCGGAAAAAAAAAGCAACACAAAGTGGAAGAATGAATAAAAGAAAATAAATGAATAATCAAGATATATAGATAAATTCTAAGACTGAAATATATAGCTGTGAAGATAGATGGATACCTACGAAAAGATTGTGTTAGATAGATAGATAGATAGATAGATAGATAGATAGATAGATAGATAGATAGATCGATAGATAGTTTTGTATGAGATGAAAACAGGTAGATATATTAGAATTATCTTAAAATACATAGGTCAGAATTTTCTGGAGTAGATTAGAATTAGATGAAAATAGATAGATAGATAGATAGATAGATTAAAATTTGATCGACAGAATATATATATATATATATATATATATATATATATATATATATATAAAAAATATATATATATATATATAAATATATAAATAATTAAAAAATTACACAAACAGAGAATGTCTCATATCGAGAATATTTCACATTGAACATGAAGAAAAATTAATTATTTTTAATATGTAGAAATCTCCACTTTTACCTGAAGACGGTCGCGAGACCAGAAACACGTGTCGTAAAATTATGTAAAACAAAGCATAATATTTTTTCTAAATAAATCCACATTACAACCAAAAACGTTTGCGGCACCTCTCTTCTCTTCTTTTTAATATACATACTTTTCTCTCGTTGGAACCACCACAACATATTTCTTTTTTATATATATATATATATATATATATATATATATATATATATATATATATATATATATATAGAGAGAGAGAGAGAGATAGATAGTTTAATAGATTAAATTTGATCGACAGAATATATATAGATAGATAGATTAAAATTTGATCGACAGAATACATATATATATATATATATATATATATATATATATATATATAGATAGATAGATAGATAGATAGATAGATAGATAGATAGAAAAATTTGAACAATATAATAGATAGATAGATAGATAGATAGATAGATAGATAGATAGATAGTTGGACTCCAATTCATTATTTGTTTTCAAAATATAACCGACTGATTCCGATATTCGGAATAAATAAACATGGGATCATCGAAAAAAATCTTTGAGATTATAACAATTAATGGTTGAAATATAAATGCTTGTAAAATCATGTCGGGTTATATGACTAAACTGTTATTCACCGTTGCTTCTATGATAATTAAGGAGGAAAATAGGGGAACTTTACAATAACATGCAAAGGTCAACGGCCACTATAATCTCTAATAATGCTTTAATAAAGTATCTACTTATAAATTAATATATATATATATATATATATATATATATATATATATATATATATATATATATATATATATATACGAAGATTTTCCTCAGGAGTTAACCTGTAGAAAGTGCGTTTTGTAAACTCTTCTAGTTGGTAAGACATTTTGTTTGTTGTTATTATTTTAAAATACTATTTTAAATAAATTATATCTATTAAAATAAGGTATAAAGAGAAAATATCAACGAGCAGACTGGGAATCGTTCTGTGATTTCCCTTTGCGACATCCCTTGGAATGTGCTTTTTAATTAAAAATGCGGGTCTGGGGTCTCCTTCTGCATAAAAGCGTGCATCGTGGCTTTCATCCCAGCAAGAAAATTTAAATCGCGAACAACTCCTTGGTTCTCAGTTGCTTGCTCAGCAGCTATCGCCCACAGGAATCATTTCTTCTGTCTGTACCGAAGCGACATGTCTGAATACAACAGACATCTCTTTGTCTCTGATAATGAGTGTAAGCGTGTCCTGAAAAAAAGCAAAGTTACTATTTGCTGATAAAAAAGAAACAACGTCTTGCATCTCGCAAGTTTGGTTCTAAACATTATTGACGGCTCTGCAAGAGTGTGTTGAACAACAGAAAATCCCCAATCCCTTCTTTATTCAGTTAATTCGAAGTCCTAGCATCCTCAACCGATAAGGTCGAATGCTTTGCTCGCAAATTCTACTCATCTGAAGTACCCACACCTGATTTTCCCCCTCGAACTGTTTCCATTGCTTGAGATGAGCATCACTCCCTCGTTGGTATTGAACATCATCTCTAAATTAGACTCTTATAAAGCAAGTGGTGGTGACGGGATACCAGCCGTAGTCCTAACAAATTGGACCCTTAGCTGGTTCCAGTTCTCTCCAAACTATATAACTATTTCCTCACTGATTCTTGCTTTCCAGCCTGTTGGAAGACCTCATCTGTTGTCTCTGTTTCTAAGAACACTGGAGACTCTTCTGACCCATCTTACTACCGTCCTATCAGTCTCCTACCACTCTTCGTCAAACTCTTCGAGGTTTTAAACAATGCGGAAGTGTTTAAGCACCTTACATTCCATGATCTATTCTCTTTCAAACAATATGGTTTCCGCTTTGCCCGATCTTCTGCTGACGTGCTTACGGCCATAACTAAATTCGTATACCAAGTTCTTAAATATAATGGAGAAGCTCAAGCTGTGGCTCTAGATATCTCTAAGGCGTTTGACAGGGTTTGGTATGCCGGCCTTCTTCGTAACCTTCTGGGATACGGTATTACAGGAGGATTATTCGATTTAATCTAATCATTTATGTCAAACCGTGAAAGGAAGGTCGTCCTAAACGGTTCTCCTCCAGTTCCTTTCATACTAACGCTGGTGTTCCCGAAGGTTCTATGCCGGGTCCTACACGGTTTTAAATCTTCAACGATCTTCCTGGTGTCATCAGGAGGCATCTACTCAGATGACACTACCATTTACTCCTATCTCAATAGCAAATCCGGAATTGGTGACAAAGTTAACCTGGCTGTTGGTCTTGCAAAGGACCTCCAATCTGTAGTTGACTGGGGTTTGTAAACTTTAATGCTTCCAAAAGGAAACTGCTCTCATTTGGCCACCATAGAGAAACCCCCTTGCCTTATATCAACACGGCTGATGCTCAGCTCCACGAAAGCGTCCCTCTGGGCCTTCTTGGTCTCACGTTTTCCACTGACCTGAGATGGGGCAGCTGTATTGAATCAATAGCTACATCTACCACAAGAAAAGTTGGTTCTCTGTTTTATGCCAGAAGGTTTTTCTTGTGTGAGTCTATCCTTAAAATCTACAAATCTACCATTGGTCCTTGCATTGAATATTGTTGTCATATACGGTGTGGTGCCCCCGCTATTCATCTCGAGGTTCCCAACAAAATCCAAAGACGGATATGCAATGTGATAGGTCCTGACCTGGCATCTCGACTACAATCACTTTCTTACAGATGTGATGTGGCTTCCCTCCGTCTTTTCGAAAAAAATATTTACATGGCAACTGCTCTGACGAGCTATTTTCGCTGGTGCCCAAACTGCATGAATTTAAGCGTGGTACAAGTTTGGCATGTCGGTCCCATCTTTTTACTGTCGAAACAGTTAAATATGACCGTCCCTTCTACTCCAACAGTTTCATCTCTCGCACTTCCCGACAGTGGAACTCTCTTCCTCTTGCTTGCTTCTCTTTATCCTTCCTCAAACATCCCTCAACTCCTACTCCGTAACCCCTTGCGATCTAGTGGCAGTCCCGCCTTGCTTGGGACTAAATGTTTATATATATATATATATATATATATATATATATATATATATATATATATATATATATATATATATAATGAAATGGACAAAGTTCAACAATTGTTTTAAGACATTTTTCTGTTTATACATTCTTTTATATATACAAATATTTAAGTAAAGGCTCTGTTTATAATAAACAGTATTAAACAACATTACTGGCCTGAATGTCCGAGAAATTTGCACAGAAAATATTCATCCTCCGACTGTGAAAATTTCTCGGACATTCAGGCCGGTAAATGTTGTTTAATACTGTTTATTATAAACAGAGCATTTACTTAAATATTTGTATCTATAAAAATATATAGACATAAAAATATCTTTATATATATATATATATATATATATATATATATATATATATTTTAATATCGATCATTGTGCGCTGATGTTTATAAAATAATGCTCGATGTAATTTATACTACAGGTGTTGAAGTGAGCACCTCAAGATTACGAAGGAAATCATGTATATTCATTAATATATATATATTGAGAGAACGTGACAACGCTTTTTAATGACAACGAGTTTTGACTCATGTGATTAGTAGGCGTTTTCATGTTAGAATGAAAGACAAAAATGTTTTTTTTTTTATGATTTAATGATTTAAATTGGTTGGCCGAATGAGAAAACATAGCTGCTTGTACTTTTTTTTATTTAAATAAAAATAACACTCAGATGTATGTTTAATTCAGACGGAAAACGACATTCTCATACACATAGGCAAAACCCGTTGTCATTAAAATGCTTGTCCTTATTCTCCACACACACACACACACACACACACACACACACACACATATATATATATATATATATATATATATATATATATATATATGTATATATCAACATACGTAACTGGATAAACAGAAATTGCTCCTGTCGAACTCTCTGCGTTAGCAGAGAGGAACCCGGACGAGGCTTTGCCGAAGGGCAAGGTTTCGTCCGGGGAGGTAGACAGGGCCTGAACCCGTCTAATCGGCTTCAAAGGCTATTTTTTTGGCCGAGCCTACGGGCTCGGAGAAACCCACAATAAACCGGCCTTGTGCCATATTCGTTTCCCGTGGGTGAAATGATAAATACCGAATGTACAGAAAAAACTGAAAAACACAGACGCTATTGGTATGTCAAATAAACAGACCCCATTAAATAATATATTATTCGACACAAGAGATGGTATCATGTTTTACAGTGCATATGATATAATTAACGAGCATACATACCATTATACCAGAACATATGTACCATTATACCATATATACCATTATACCAGAACATATATACCATTGTGCCATATATACCATTATACCAGAACATATATACCATTATGCCAATAATTCTATATTTTTAAATTATTTACTATTTACTTAAAGTAGCCATTTATTTATCAACTACAAAATAAATTTATGTAGACAATTTACAAAGCACATGAGTTGTTTAGCATTTTGTAAAATTGCCTCTCTACTCCACTTTTATTTCTTAGGAACCTGCATTGTCTGGTTTGTATATTTTACGTAACCATATGTATCGGCTTTAAATTTATGTCTGGATGCCGTCAGCTGCCAATCTACGGGTCATGGCACATTTATAAAAAAAAATAATTTTTGTTTTTCGCTTACATTAAATTCAACATAGTTCATGTTTTATTGGTTGGTCAGAGTAAAGCCTTCAATCCTTGTAGCCCCGTTTTTTTTTCGAAATAGAGATTGTATTTTGTTTTAAAACTAAATACATCCTTAACTCGCCAGTAATTTACAATCGTCTGATGAAATGAAATGCATTGATATGCATTAAAACACGACTGCAATTGTGTAGCAATCTTTAGATGTTTAGATGTTTCGATATAGAATCCTCTTATATATATATATATATATATATATATATATATATATATATATATATAAATTAATTGATTTAAAATATGTTTTTTTCTACACAGTTCTAACCATGTTTCAAAAATGGAAGCTGACAGCTCGAATTTAATTTTGTAATTAAATTAAAGACATTAGTTCCATTTCATCCTCAAGCGAATTTCAAGGAAAGGATGAAATGGAACTAATGTCTTTAATTTAATTACAAAATTAAATTCGGAGCTGTCAGCTTCCATTTTGAAACATGGTTAGAACTGTATAGCGGAAAAACATATTTTATATCAATTAATTTATAATATTAATGCTCTGTAAATTTACATTGAGAACTATTTTGTAAAAATAAAAATATCTATAAGAACACCGGATTATATATCTTACTGTTCTTTCTTTTATATATATATATATATATATATATATATATATATATATATATATATATATATATATATTTATCCATGTTTCGATGCCAATACTAGCATCTCATCAGGCGGTGGTAAGTAAAAGTTATATACAATTTTTTTAACTTTTTACTTACCGCCACATAATGAGAGGGT